AAATCTCTCCTCGCACTTCAAAACCCAGCCCTGCCAAGAAGACCACACTTGGTAGTAGATTTATTCACAGACCACTGTTTCTTTACTCGCTGCTCGGCGGCGTGGGGAAAGGACTGTGAGAATAGCAGTTTTTGTTGGCTTGGCATGATGTTGCTATAGAAAATATTACACTATATCTGAACTGATATGGTTTTGTACAAATTAGCCTAAACTATAGCCACTGTGACCTTCATCAGATTACTTAAGGCTTAATATATGCCTGTTGTATCAGTCCATATTTAAATAAACAATAAATAAAAACCATAGACTGAATAAAGACGTGGACAAAGGGAGTGTGACATCACCCATAGTGTTCAGCTCCAGTCAAATGAAGCTCACAGAGGCTGGCAGTCATAAGAGCGAATTTGGAGCCATATTAGGAATAGGAATATATTTAAAGGTTGTATGGAGGATTTTTTTTTGTTTCAAATTGTCAATGATAGCATTATAGAGATGCAGTAGCCTTGTAATTATGATGACCAAAAAAAAAGACAATAAAAATTCATCAACTCTGGACGTGGTGGGGCTAGCGTTTACGTACACCTGTCACGCAGTCCACAGACGCTGTTTACACCACCAACGCAACAGTTCTTAGCAGCTTTTTTGACCTATATCTTCCTCACAGTTCGCACAAAGTTTGTTGCAATGGCAGACAAGAATCCAGGAGCAGTTAGCCGCAAAAGAAAGTCCGTTTTTGAGGTCGCTGAAAGAAGAAGAAAAGGAGAAAAGCAGTGAAGTCAAACTAAGGTGATTCTTGGAGATTCATTCCAGCGATGGTGCGCAACTGAAGCAGACGAATGGTCTAAAGACTGATGCACTGGTCGCCAAATTACTTCTGGACAGGTAACTTCTGCTTATTATGAAAACGTACTTTTTTTTTTTTTCCAAGAGCTAGACAAACATTTTTCAGGACACGAATGTGATATCCTATGTCTGAAAATGTAATTTTCAATGCAAAGAAAGAGTCCGCTTGCTGCTGCGTGTTGTAGTAGTAGCTTCATTCGCACGGAATCTCCGCGCACCCCTCTCTGCACCCCTTACTGCTAATCTCTCCGCTCCCCGTTTCGCTCTTCTCCCTGCTCCTCACTTCTTTTCTGCGCACGGAATCTCCGGGCAACTGCTCCCCTCTCCTCTCTCCGCTCCCTGTTCTGTTCTTCTCCCTGCTCCTCACTTCTCCGCCTTGCCTAACCAACACAGTAGTTAGTTGTTTACAAGTCATGTGCAGCGATGAGTACTTTCTGGCGTAAGGAGGAGGCGGGAGGAGGTGTTTCTACGTAGGGAGCTGTAGGGGAGGGGGGGTGGTTTCACGCATGCGCAACATTTGAAAAAGGACAAACAGTCGCTGGATTTCTCGTTCCTTGGAAAATCCTCTATACAACCTTTAAGGGCAAAATAGTGAAATTGGATAGTGAAAATATAGTATAATATAGTGAAACAGCAGGATAATTTAGAAAGGGTTAATATGAACATTTTAAAACTAAAACAACACTAAAATGATGAGGCTCACAGTAGCAGTTACAGTTGCAGTGTCGATGGAGCCAGTAATGCACTCATGCCAACTTTCTATTTGGAATGCAGGGGCTAGAGGTTTAGCTATGTTCATTTACAGTCTATGATAAAGTATAATATTGAAAACTACTATAAACACGTAAACTTAAGCCATCGTAATTCTTTTTTTGTCTTTTGTAAATGAACCATACTGTAATACGCTGCAATAATATCTCTACAGTCAGTCATATCCTTAAGCAACAAATTAGAACTAAGCAATATTGTAAAATAATTAACCACAATTTCTTCCCTGGGCTCGATCAATGATAATTTTATATCAGCTTACATTTTCCTCACTGAAATCAATAAAAAATGTCTTTCACTTTTCATTTCATTAACATAACAAGAGACACTTTAAAGCTACCATCTGTAATTACATTGGCTGACCTGATGCTATCTACATTACTGCAGTCTGACAATGTCCCATCTTTGGCCAGACAGAAGAAGACGAGCGAGCATAGGTGTGTCTGAACAAACGCCAGGTGAGGGGAGGAGGGAGGGGAACAGGTTTCTACTGGTAAAAAGAATAATAATTATAAAAATTTAAATGGATGTACGTAGCAAATTGCAAAGGCTGCAATTTTTACGTACCATAATTTCAAAATAACTGGTTTGTTCTGTGCCTGCATAAAAACTGTCATGCCTGAAGTTTAGAGCTGTACAAACATGTCCTAAAACATGATTCCTGTAACTGTCGCTCATTCATAATTTTTTTGTCAATTCTAGACGTTTATATGTGAACTTCGAACCTGAATCCTTTTATTGAAACATACATCACAATGCTTGTCAGAAAACTCACAATGAAATATTTTCCCCAAATAGCTCAGCTCTACCTACAACAAACATTGAATCATTGTTGTTTTTAATGCCTCATGCTGCACTTTGAGCTTTTTACACATGTTTTTCCAATGTGGTTTGTAACTACAAGTGGCAAATAAACTAACCTAACTTAAAGGTGCATGGTGTAACTTTTTGGTTGGGGGTCCGTCACCTTTTTGTTTCTATGGAGATGTCACTGCCCTGCTTGGAATGTTTCACAATATGACATTAAACAGCTCTGGCTTACATTTATTCAGTTACAGGTGGTTTTATAGCTCAAAAATACGAAAAAGAAACTGACATTCTGACTGTGAGTGGGGTTGCCTCTCCACAGATCTGACCAGTAACTTGACAGAACCACCAGAAAAGTTACACAATGCACCTTTAACCTGACCTAAAATATAACTGTTCATCCGTCACTCATTTAGCTGTAAATCAGTACAGTCGTTATCCTGACAGGACTACATGTGGGTTAGGCTGACACTGGGGGAGATCTATTGAGAATGCACCACACCTTTCTTTGGCATTCAGTGACTCCAACAACATGAGACCTGACAGAGTGCGGTTTGGGCACAAGCTGTAAAAATGTACCACGAAGGAAGAGAGGAATATACAATAAAGTCCTCGTGTTGGGGCTAGCAGTGGGAGGAACTGGTAAACAAGAGTGACAGTCAGGTGGGGTAGATAGTGTAAAAAGATGAGCCATAAATATTTAAGTAGGGAATTCAGCCTGAGAAGAGGGACCATTTAGGATACGACTGTACAAAAAGTACCAAAACAGTTCTATTTTCACAGTTTCAAGCGACAAAAAACTTCCTGTAACCAGAAGTGCCATCAGAAAAGGTAAGGAAGAAAGGACAAAAACATGTTATTGTGACAGAAGTAGAGCAGTGACAAAAGTTAAAAAAAAATAAAAATCTGAACTATAGCGGAAACGTAAGCTATTTGCTCCTAACAAAGAACAAGAATACGACTGCGCATAACAAGTTAGTCATTATGATGATAAACATGAGTTGTAACATACAGTGTAAAATGGGTTACAATAAAATGCCACAGTAAAGGACAAGAAAATGCAATTCTAAAAGCAGTAATGTGACAGTAGCCAAAGAAATCATAAGTAGCTCTTTTTCAGTACTTGGCATTTTATCTAGTACACTATCTAAAGCAGATAAGTAAGATGTAAGTGAAGGATTTAAATGGTCTGTCTGTATTTTATTTATTCTAGTTCAAGTGCATGTCCTTCACACTGTGCAGTATATTGTAAAAACAGCTATTTTAGAAATAAAATAAAACTACACTGCCTCCACCAAACAGTGCTACCTATTCATTTGAAGCTTTTCGATGAATTCCCATATGCTTTTCTTTACCAGATTCTAGATTCTATGATGACTGATTGTTTATTATGTTGCATTATACTCATCACATTATCTCCACTGATCAGTTTGGCTTTAAAGCTGACCACGGCACTAACCTGTGTATTTAGGTTTTAAGAATTATTAAGTCAATACAAAAGCAGATACTCCACTGGTTTTCATGTGTTTCCTAGATGATTCGAAGGCTTTTGACTGTGCGAATCATGGGAAATGATTTCACAAAATGTGTCAAGCCAATGTACGGTGCTTAAGAATACAGTTCAATGCCTGTTCTATTGATAAGCAGAACATCTATCAAGACATGTATCTGTATCAAATAGATATTTCCCCGTCATGGTTCAAAGTCAGAGTGAGAGAAGGGAATATGTGGGCAGAGCTAACTGATCCAACTGATCTAACTGATCTAAGGGTGAATTCACACTGGTGCTTGAGTGAGGCAGGTTTGAGCCCAGTTTAATGATGTAGATTTGTCCTGTTCTAGTCCTTTATTAGTCCTGGTCTAGTCCATTTTAATATGGTGTGCAAGTGAATGCAACCTAAAACATGTTTTTCACTCTTGGTTCAAAATTTTATACCAGCTTGAGTTTTATTTTGCATGAATGCCTTTGTGTATCTGTTTGTGTATAAACTAAAGAAAGGATATCAGTACCCAGTACTTTTCTGGGACCATATCATTGTCTAGATTCTAGAACCACAATACATACAACAATTTTCAGATTCTAAAATGAATGAATGATATGTCACACTCGCAGATGGGCGTCTAGAGCCAATTTTTCCCTATTCACGACTGTATTTTCCTATGAGATATTCAAAAAGAAAATGCACAAATGTTAAACCTGATCATTTCTATTATTGTCCAAGAACTCACTGTATTACAACAAAACTCTAGGTTTTCACAATATTCATTTCAGCTGCCCCATCTGTATTTAATATTAGTGACCTATAGAAAGTTGTGTGTAAATTCCATCAAAAATGTTGAGTAAAGCAACTAATTTCTACCATTTCTTTGTCATCTTTTTGATCACTTTTTAAAATATTTTCCTGTATCCGAACTCCTGTGAGTATGGTGCAAACATAAATAGGGCTTGCTTGATTAGATAAAAATGGACTAGAATAAACATTATCTTTAGGGATCAAACTGACTAACTGCCTTGTTCTATGCACTCCAAAAACCCCAACTTTGTGTAACCCTGAAGTTTAAAAGTGCTTTGATGCCCTCACCGTGTAGGTCCTCCACTGGCCCACCATCTGCTCCTCTGAGCGTGCTGTGCTCTCCCCGGCCTCACGCTCCCCCTCCAATCTCCTTCTCCAGACTAAGCAGGAGCTGTCGGAGCCTCGTGATGTCCTCTCCAAGCCTGTGGCAGCGGGACATGTACTGTTCTGGAAAAGATGTAAATGCCTTTATCAAAACACCATGTTAATCCTTGTAGTCTGTATTACAAAGATTTTGTTTTTTAAAGCAGACTTATCATGAAGAGCTTTAAACCACATTACAGTTGTTTCCCTTCCTCATTTCCCCCTCTCCAAGTTGTATTTGGAGTGGTTCATGCATGTTTGAGCAATCTTTTTAAGACGCCATATTGCCGATCAACCCCCCATTTCCACCGCCACAGGCATACGCCCACCGCTCTGTACCAATTTTATTTTCTTAATCGGTGATACATGCAGGATTCAGCAGCATTGTGTAATCATTTCATTTGAGTTTTATTAAGACGTTTTAGATGAATATGATGATTTAAAATGTGCAAATTATAACGTAGGGGGTGGGTGTTGTAGATTATAACTACTTTATGGCAATCGCAAGCACAATATGTGTTCTTTAAATAGATAGATAGATAGATACAGAGATAGATAGATAGATAGATAGATAGATAAAATGTCAAAACAGTTGTATTTAAGCCACCAATTCTTCTAGCTCAATATCAAGTAAAGTAAATTCTAAGCCCACCTTAATAAATTTGATAGGTATCTTCAAACTATTCAATCCTGTGCCGGTTTCAACCTCATTTAAAGAGGGGGCATTAGACTACAATGGGGTATTGACTGCAAACACATTACATACTTTTGTTTCTTTTCTTAACCAAAATCATTAGCTCTATCTCGACACGCCTAATGATTTCAGTTTAAAAGGATCCATATTACTAGAACACTATTTTCTGATCTACGTTATAATGTTGTTTCATCATCACGATCATACCTGGAGTAGCGTTTTGTTTCATTCAAACCCTGCATATTTAAGCTGACTTCTTCTCTCAAATCGAAAACACCTTGTATACCTTGTGATGTCATGTTGCAATAGGAAGTGCCCCACTGCGTTTTTAAACTCCATACACCTCCAATGGAATCATTTGGATGAGTTCAACCCTGAAATTGCCAATCTCTACTGAACAGAAGGTAAAAGGTAGCTGTTGACTTGAAAATTACCACTATATCGCATCACAGTGTGGAACAGTTTTGTAAATGTAAGACAGCCTAATAATAAAGGATTACTCAAATGTGTGAATGAAACAAAACATTGAGGAGGTAACAACCTTATATAACGGCTTAACGCTCACAAGAGTCAGTTTTGTGTAATACCTTTGTGTAGGACCTTTGAAGAGGTAGTATTATATTTCTGTGGGTTTTTTATTTTATCCAACATTTTACACATAATGCACTTGCAATATGGTTTTGTTTTGGTTTTTTTACCCAAAATCATGCAGGCCTATCATGACTGACCAAATGATTAAAAAAACAAAACAAAACATGTACTTACGGTGGGAGTCCAGACTGACCCTGAGCCCTTCCTCCGCCTCACACAGCGCCTGCCTGAGCCTCTGCCAGCCCAGCCTCAGCTCCTCCGCCTCCTCCACCACCTGCTCCGCCCCGGCTGGAGACGTGTTCGCGCGCACGCCCTCCGCCAAACCCTCGATGTGGAGCAGGGTCTTCTCCTCGCTGGCCACGCTGTCGTCCAAGGCCTGGAGATGGAGGAGAAGAAAGAGGGGGCACACTGTGAGCACATTTGGAGGGGTTAGCTGACGGCGATGCTAACACCGTTTCATAGCGTGGGGCAGAAGACTGTGGCGTTTGGACAAAGTTAAGAGCGGAGGAGGAGATAAGATATTGGACATTAGGCACATTAGCCAAATTAGCTGGGAGTCATACCAAGCAGTTATTTTATGTAAGCAGTTGGGAAGATGGTAGAATAAAAACAATTATATCATATTTGAATTTGTGGGGCTTAATTGGACTCATCGTTAATTTACAAGCAAAGTCAAAGTCTCAAATTCTTTGTATAAGGAATCTAATTGTGTTGAAGTAGGAAATTTCTGACTGATGGTGAGTAACTTTACCTTAATTTTAATGTTTTAATTAATTAGGGAACATTTAAACTATATTACAAAATAGTTAATAATAGTTAATAATTACTTTCAAACAGTTCAAACTTGTGTTGCCACAATACTAAAATTTCAAATCTTATTTTGATACTAAGGAATCGACTTGATACTGAATACCGATTCTGATACCACTGTAATAATAAAATCAACTCTTTTTTTAGACAATAAAATCATTTTAAATATTAAATCATAGTACTTTGTAGTTTTTGTCTTTGTTGTTGTTTTTTACGTTGTAGTTGGTTCCAAAGTGGTCCATGGATATATACTAGTCTATGTGAACTTATACTTGTTCTGATACAGCTCAAGATCATTCTAAATTATTCATGAAAGGTTCATTTTTGTCCTGTGAATATGACTTTTTTTTAGTTTCGATAGATACTCATTTGAGCAGGTAGTTTCTACAGTAGTTTTATTATTGATTAGTATCTGATTTTCGATACTTATGACAACCCTAGCCTAAACTGTGACATTAAAAAATACCCTAAAGAGAAAAACACACATTACATAACTTGGATCACATGTTCTATAGAAACACAAGGTATCAAGACTAATGCCTAAGAGTATGTTGTGGTTTCCATTTACTCACTATACCAATAACTGTGTTGCTTTCTGTTAGTTCATATTAGGATATTATATACAGTGGTGGAAGAAGTACTCAGTTTTGCTACTTAAGCAAAAAAAAAAAACTCAAGTAAAAGCATCACATGAAAATCTACTTAAGTAAAAGTATTAAAGTACTCTTTAAAAATGTACTTATGGAGTAAAATGAAAAAGTTTTTCACACAGATTGTGAGATCTAATAAAGCTTCACATGTCGTGATTTAATACTTTTACTTTCCAGTCCTATTTAAAATTGTAGTGGAGAAGAAAGCACAAGATATCACTTTATTGACTTTAAGTATAAATTTGAAGTATCTGTACACCACTTTACTACTTTTACTTCATTACCTTCCACCACTGGATATATGTAATTATGAAGACAGGTTGACAGTATTGACCTTTTCTAGCACTGAGAACAGCACCTTGACAAGATAACACTGAACACTGTATTATTTTGAATTTATGCCCCTTATGGTAAATATAGACATAACACATTGTCAATATATTGAGCGTAGACTTGTCAAACACTCTCTCCGTTCTTTGGTCTCTCACTTTTAGCGCCTGCAGCTTCTTCTCCGCTGGGTCATCCTTCTCCATCATCTCCATCAGCTCCCTGGTTTTTGACATCAGCCAGGACTGGAACCTCTCAACACAGCCTTGGTAAGTCTGGTGCTCCTCTGCAATCTTCTTAAGGAGTGACAGCCGCTCCTATCACAGTGGGAGACGAACTGCGTGATCATTTTTAGACTTTTTTTTTTTTTTTTTTTTTTTTAAACAGAAGGAAGGAGCACACATCACTAACTTCCTCTTTGGGGATCTGTTAGCGGAGGGGCTGATTTTGTTGTGAAAAAGGGAGCGCAACTAAAGCAGATAAGACAAAGAGACAGGTGGGTGGGGTATTAAAAAAAGAAAATTGCCCCTTAAATATGGGCATTATTTGAAAAGCAGATTCCAATTTGCACCGAAGCGCAGATAGGGCTGTCAGTTTGCATTGAAAATAAGGTATGGATTGACGGGGGTGGTTATTTTGAATGTGAAAAACAAATGAAAAAGATGTCGAAAAGAAAACAAAACTTCTCTACAGGAAGTCCACATTAACCTAGGCAAAACTATTTCTATCTACTCTAAATGTTAATGTGCTGGTATGGTTTTAAAGTTCAGACAACAAGACACAACTAAATAAAGAAGAATGAGACTTTGTAATATGGGCTGTACTAAAATATTGAAATACTGATATATCACCATAGTAAATGTGGTGATACAGTATTATTATTGTGGGCTGTTGTATCGATATATAATCATGAGTATTGTTGTTATATTTGGTTGCTTATTTAGAGAAAGGAAACTTGTTTATGCAGTACATCTGACAAATTCACTGGTTTGAAAATTTTAAATGAGTGCATTTCTTACTACGTTTTTATTTATTTGATTTCATATTTTTGTTTCCATTCTAGTACTGCTTTTTGGAACCATTAAAGAGTTGTAACTTATCAACATGTAGCCCTTTTTGTCCAATCCAAATGTAAACAGTTGGGAAAAAAATCTCATGAGATTATTTTTCTAACTATGCATGATCTTGTGTTTTGTCTCACGAGATCTTGCAGCATGAGATCTTGAGAAAAAGAAATAAAGAGGAAAGAGATTTACGTTTTAATAGGAGTGTTCTAAAATACTGAAATACTGTAATAGTAAATTTGGTGGTACAGTATCGTTAATCGTGGGCTGTTTTATTTTTTGGTATTATCCAAAATTATTTTGTCAATAGAGTTTTGTTGCTTGTTTAGGGAAAGGAAACTTGAAATTCATGGCGATATACTCACTGGATTTGAAATTCAAAATGGGTGTATTTCGTATTATGTTTGTGCAGGTAGTGGTTTAAAAAAGAAATGCTGATGTTGAAATGTTTTTGGTTCCTAAAAAAGAGATATTGCAAGAAATCTTGTGCAATATTCAAGTGGTAATATTACATAGTAAGCCGTGGAATCCAAAATACACACTTCTTCACGGGTGAATCTCCCAGAGTTTGGGCGTGACTGACAGGTAGATTAGCCTATCAGCCAATGCATGATCTGTCTGTTGCATAGACTGTATATATATATATAAATGGACATTGCTAACCTGCTAACCACTTTCCAAATAGAATGTGTCACCCCTCTCTTTGTAACTGCTGCTGTGAACCTCGTCATTTTGGTCTTAAAATGTTCGTATTAACCTTCTCTAGGTGATCTTGCTGTTTTTATCTCCCTATTTTGCACATAAATAAATTTCTATGCCTAATATGGAACTCGGCTCCAAATTCGCCACTCACTCCTAGCCTCTTGAGCTTCATCTGACTGGAGCCGAACGCTATGGGTGACGCCACACTCCCTTAGTCCACTTTTTCAAATAGTCTACGGTTTGTTACCAGGCAAATAGGACCTTGTGATTGCCAACCCAACTTTTTAAATGTATCTGTAGTTTTTTTTTTAGGCCATAATTTTATTTAAAAGTCCACCCACAGCAAAACGCAAATACATCTTTACTTTGACGGGAAATAGCCAAGATCCCATGAATAAAAATAAGGTGTGAATAAACGCGAGATAGAATATATGCAAATGTATTCTTTGCTTTAGAATAAGTAATGGTCCCTTAAGAAGATGAGAGATTTTGAGTGATAGTAGCGATTTACTTGTTCTTGCTGATTGTTTTGGCATTTTAAGTGGCATTTTAGGCAGTAACAAGAAGACAGTGATATTTGTACACGTATTATAATTTTTTACTGTAGCAAAATGGAATCGGTCAATATTAATACAGTGTAATTTAATATGACATTTTGTTCGCTCGGGTAGTTATAATTCATAATCATGATCTTTTCCATTTGCAAATAATCTGCATTGGAATATTAGTAGGTCAAAGGTTGAATGCTGCTTCATGATCCCTTATGACTGGGTTAGAAAAGCTTAAGGATTCAATAGTATGCTTCATCTTGTGTGTTTTTTTATCGATTTCATATGATAAATTAACATGATCAATATGGTAAAATCTAAGTATTTAAAAGGTGTACTGCGCAACTTTTCTGGTGGAGGGTCTGCCACTTACTTGTCTCCATGGAGATGTTTTTGCTTTGCCTGGAATGTTCCATTAAACATATCCATCTAGGATTTATTCATCACAGGTGTTTCTGTTGCTCAAAAAAACAATAAGTTCGTCAGTGAACTGGGGCGATTCTCCACAGATCTGAAGTCTAATGTAGCATAGAGCTGTAATTTGCTTGTCTCCCTTGTAAAAGGTTTAATGTGTACTGTGTAACATTCTAGACAAAGCAATAACCTTTCCATGGAGACAAGTAGGTGGCGGTAGCCAGGCTGGCGCAACCTAGTGCCTCCACTCAATTTCATATCTCTCCATCGGCTAGGTCAGGAATCGGAATACACTAGACCGTTCACAAAAACCCCGGAAGTGCGAGTTCGGGCAGCAGCCGTGTTGGCAACAATTTCCGAGATCGAGGATTTACAGTCGGAACAAAGACAATGTTTGGTGAATTTTATCAAGGGGAAAGGCGTTATTGCCGTTATTCCTTCAGGATTTGGGAAAAGCTTAATATACCAGTTAGCCTTGTTAGTTACATACATCACGACCAAACAGCAGTGATTGATTAAATGAAAAAAAGTTTCTACGAAGTGAGTTTGGCTGATGAATCAGGTTAAGGTGGCGGATCCTCAACTAGAAAGTTTTGTAGTGAATCTTTAACATTACTATTTATTATTTTCTTTTGTGTGTGCATGTTTTTGTCATTTATTTTTCTACCTCAAGCTAAAGGTATATAATTTTTGCTGTGCTGCACTTTAAGGTTGATAAAATGTGCTGCTATATATAAATAAATTGAGTTGGATTCTTTTTTGGGACACTTCGGGCCACAATATAAAAGTATTTAACGTTTAATAACTTGAAAAGACATCATTACAACAGACATAAAATTCTACTCCGAACTAAGTCTAATGTTGCAACACCTTCATAAACACCCACGAACATGTAAGCAAAATAATTTAATACAACTAAGGCCGTCTAAAACAATATCTGGAAGGTCCAAAAAAAAGTTGAATGGCAGTTGAATGAAGAATGACAGATTTGACTTAAAGTGGTCTCTCCTCACCTCAGCTTTATCCCTCACATCATTGTAATCAGCCTGCATCCTCTCCTGGGCCTGTTGGTCTACACTGGGATCCTGGGTGCGGGTGTACAGCGAGCCAGCTTCGTCCAGTAGTCGCTCCAACAGCCCCGCCTGGCTCTGCACGTCGCTCAACACCACCCTCTGCTGGTCCACCTGCCAAAGCTTCTCCTTCAGCCCCACCTGTAGCTCCACCCCCAGGGCCAAGGCACGCTGCTGTCGGGTCAACCACAACTCAAACTCCTCATAGGCCTTCAGGTACTCGCTCCAGTGCAGCCACACCCACTCGATTCGACTAAAAAAGACAAAGAACAAATGAAACTAAACATACTATTATTTTAAAGGGGACAAATTATGTAAGAAATGGTCATTGGTCACATTTTTATAGAGCGCTTTTCCACACATTCACACATACATTTATACACTAGTGTACACAGACATTGTATTGGCAGAGCATGTTCGGTGGGTCAGGAGGACAGAAGGCTTGGAATGAAGCGGCTCCAGACTCATTCCTGTAGTTAACGAAATGGGTTTGGCTCCCCAGGCTAAGCCACATGGTGTTTACTTTGGGTTTGCATGGATACATTAGGAATTCAGATTGAGACAGGCAATTAGGATTTGATTACTGTAAATTACTGTGAATTAAAAAAGGATCTTCATAAGTGAATGGTAATGCAGGTCAAACTAGCTCTTGCAATTATATTCACTGTAATTAGTGTCCCAGTGATAGAAAAGAACAATTATATTTCACAGCTCTAAAGGCTGTCCAAGACTTCTATAAAGGTACACTCTGTCACTTTTCTGATGGGGGGCCGCCACTTACTTGCCTCCATGGAGATGTTATTGCTTTGTCTAGAATCCATAGTATGGCAATTACAGTTTTTTAATGCTTAAATATACCTTCAAAAACATGGATTCTTACTGTGAGGAGGTTCACCTGGCATCACCTGCTGCTTGTCTCCATGCATGTAGACAAGTTAATGCCATACAGTGGAACATTACAGCCAAGGGAATATCATCTCCATGGAGCTGAATCCTGCACAGGTACGGGCAAACAGTTGCTGAAATGAGCGGGTTTTAACATTCTGGAAGTGTACGGGCGGGTATGCGGGCGGGTAGTGGTTACACACGGGAGGGTCAGGACTACACCAGGACCACACCAGGACCACACCAGGACCACACCAGGACCACACCAGGACCACACCAGGACCACACCAGGACCACACCAGGACCACACCAGGACTTGAGAGAGAGAACCCCGAGCGGGAGAGAAAGTGCAATCGGGCGAAGGCAGCACTTATCTCCATGCGCGCGGAGATCTGCTCAGGTCCTTTAGCCTGTGGTCACTCAACAGTCTACACGGGCGCACCTCTGAGCCTGTCCTGACAGGGAGTCCTGGTTCAGTTCTGCTTTAGTCCTGGTTTAGTCCTGTTTTAGTCCTAGTTCAGTCTTGGTTTAGTCCTCCTGGTTCTGTCCTGGAATCAGTCCTGGTTTAATCTTGGTTCAGTGCAGTTCTAGCCATGTCAGTTCTTTATGGTCAGATTGTGCTAAAACAGAGCAGTGCCTGCAGTTAGCTTCACACCCCAACCAGGAAATATTGATCTCATAAGCTGCAATGTGTCAATAGATTGCCCTTAAACTACTTTGACAGGCAGAATATTTGGAAACCTGTAGCTGGCCCAAACCCAACTCATTATAATTCACTCATAATTCATTCTAGTCTTGTTGTGAGTCTGTGTGGATTTTAGTTGAATTATCCCATAAGCTGAACCCTGCATAGATACATGTAAAAGTTGGACACACTGTATGTAATTAACTGTGGCCCGGGGCTTTAATTATCCTGCTGTCTGTAGAAGTATGCAGCACCTGTGACAGTGGATAATGTATGTAGTCGTCTCCTCCCACTGGGTTTTGAGCTCTCGGAGTTTGCAGAGGGTGTGGTTTCTCAGCTCCTCATCTTCGCTCTGCAAAAGGTGCTCAGCTGCCACCATTGCTTTGTCCATTTTCATTCGACCTTCATGCTCCGAATGGTGAATTTTCTGCATAAAAACACGGTAAATATAAGGTGAAGGGTGACGTTAGAGTTGTAGCCTTGGTTTGATCCTGTTCTTATCCTCTTTTAGAGCTAGTCAAGTCCAGGATTGGTTTTCAGGTTTTAGTTCTGGTTTAGTCCTAATTTTGAAATGTCACAGAGCATTTTGAAACTCTTAATAGTGAATGTTCTGCTTAAAAAACATAGCAAATAGTAGTAAGGTTAAAAGGTAGAACTATCAAAATGATTAATCAGAATAATCATGACTAGTTGACTATTAAATAATCAAAATCAAATTTAAATAATCATTATTGTCAACTTAACTGGACTATACAGTAAGAGATTTTTTCTACAAAGACAGATATTATTAAATCAAAATGTTAAAAAAGGTATTTTTAAAAATCTGATTTCCTTTCCTTTTTCCTTTCCTTTCCTAATTTTCTCACAATTATTTGGTTAAAATGCATTTAACAAATCTTAATGTACAATAGCAATAATTATTTGACTAGACGACTAATCATGGAAAAAGAAATATCACTGACAAATCGAATACTAAAATAATCAGTAGTTGCTAGCCTAGTCTATATTAACATTTCTAACTTGATTTAAATTCTAAGCTGGGTGTATTTTTGTCATAACCTGCGGCGCACTGTTCGCAGAGTAGGCAGTATCGTGTCTTAACATTACACCCTCAAGGGCCAAAGCTCAAGGTAATGTTGTTGTTGTGTTTGCTCTCAAAAATTTTAATAATTTGTAATAAATCAAAGAAATATAGGCCAAACTAGGACTAAACAGTAAGACGTGACTTATGACTGGACTCAATTTGGACTAGACATGGACTAAACAATAAAATCAATCTCTCTATTTATGTGTTTCAGCTTCCCGGTATACTTAAGTAAAAGTACAGAGAACTGAAGGAAAAAAAATACTCAAGGAAAGGAAAAGGATACCATGAAATAACCTACTTAAGTAAAGGTATTAAAGTAACCATTTAAAAATGTATTTAAAGAGTAAAAGAGTAAGTATTTTGCACAGATTTTGAGATCTCATAAAGCTTCAAATGTTGTGATTTTGATAAAGATTTGTGCTGAATTTATATCAACAGAAATAAAATTGATTGTTTTTATTAGTTTTTTTATATTATTGTTTGCTCAAACTATGAATGGGATAAAAAATTTACTACAAAAATGTAGTAAAATGGTATAGTGAAGTAAAAGTAAAAAGTATCCAAACTAAAATCTAATCTAAAAACTAAAAAGTACAGATACCTACATTTTATACTTAAGTACAGTACTTTACTACTTTTACTTCATTACATTCCATCACTGCTGCTACATGCAATATTTTGAGGACTTTTTCCCATTCAAAAGAGACAATACATTTTGTTTTAGATTTGCTTGTCACTATGGCAACAGTCCTAATTTTTCATCATTCTGAATCTCATGGATAACAGTATACTATAAACAGGGACAGAAGCAGATTTTGATGATTTAAATAAACTTCACATGACCTTCAGTTGTTGGACTTTGAGTATAAAAACAAAACACAAAAGAACGTGCAAAAATGTCAATCATTTTGTCCCTGCGGCAGATCCCATTTTGCAGGTTTTACAAAGGAAAATCAGTTACATGAAAATGTGACAGTTTTTTTTTTTTCTTTTCTTTTTATATGGGTGCCCTTGTCACACCCAGCTACACAAGGTTTGCACCTGCTCAACAACTGTCACGCACGTTCTTTTGTAGGCCTCAAACCTTTTTTTTTTTTTTTTTTTTTTTTTATAAAAACAACTGAAATGTATTATTTTCAAAAACAATATATATTTATTATATTTATTTAATTATGTATTTATTTATTTATGTATTTATTTTATTTTTGCCATTCATAGTCCAGTGGATTTTTGTTGAATCACGTTTTTACCTCTGTCTCCCTGAGCCGTTTCTCCAGGGCGTCCCGGGGCCCTTGGGTGTTGTCATTGGCCCTCAGTCGCTCCTGCGTGCTCTGCATCCAGGACAGCGCCCCCTCCAGGCTCTCCATGAAGACCTGCTGCTCCTGCTGTGGCATGGCCCTGCAGTGTACCTCAAAAACAAACAAACAAACATGGATCTGATTAAGACGAGAGCCTGGAGATGTGGCACAGGAAATGAGCAGCTTCAGGAACAGAGCATGATAAATGAGAGGGAAGTGTGAGAGGGACTTGACAGGATGCCAGCCATTAACCAACAGCCCACCAGATTCAGTTGGGGAGCATAAAAGGGATCATGTGACCAGTGCATTTCAAATGAAGAATTTGAATGTTATGAGAAGCAGGGCCCTGGGCTGTGTCATATTCTGAGTGTGACCTGATTATTCTTTCACAAAATCACAAGGTTTTCTTCTTTTTGTCTCTTTTTTAATGTGTGTTTTGAGTATTCTGCTGAAGCCTCTCAGAGGTGTCTCAAAAGTCCAAATAATTAGGCAATCAGAAGTGTCCTGATTACTTAATTAGTTTGTAATCACAAGAATGAAGTCGACAAACACCAGGGGACTTTAGTATGCAGATGCTGTAGGCACACCCACATGCTTGTTGATTTTAATCATCTTTCCCAGGGTTATATTTATTCAAACCATAAATGAACAGCTATTTTCAACACTCGCACTTTCAGGAACCAAAAAAATGGCAAAATGCCATGCATTTCATGAACAACAATAAGAGCGGAGAGGTGGGGTTGTGCCCTCCGGAGATGTACATGGAAAACTAACAAACAGAACTGGCAAACCAGCTCCATAAACTCTGGAGGCGTGAGAGGTGGCTGTGCATGCACAAAGAGGGGCATCTACTCTGAGCATGGATCTGTATGACTCACTCCTCCCCACCACAGCATTCTTCTGCCCAAATTCTCATGGTTTCCACTCTCTCTGGGACAGGGTGTACCCAAAAAGACCCAAAACTTTATAATATCTGCTCAACTTCTAATACAATAAATTCTCTGTTTAAACAAACATGTGGGTGTGACAGAGACCAACCCCGGCTTACAGACACAATTTGTTTGTTTGTAAATAAAATGAATACTGTTTTTTGGTAGTATTTTATTTTTTTCTCTGCTCTGCATCTGCACACTGATGAACTCTCAAAACTTAAGCCTGGACAGCGTTCTGACTAATAATAAACTTCCTAGTGTAATGTACTTTCTAATGTCAGTAAAACAAATCGCCCATGTGGTAGTACAGTTGAATGCATGGCTGTCTTCTTGAGTGTTGTGCACGCTGTTACAGTGACAGTTGCTGCAGGGGAAAGCCTCTGTTGGCAGCTCGTAAACTTACCACGCATTAACGTAACATACCATTACCCTAATCCTTTTGCACAAACATGGGGCAAATAAAGCAACAACTGTTATTTTTAAAACGTTATTCTTAATGTTTACTTCATGCACATGCAACTTAACTTAACTATAATCAACAAAAGCGTTAAGATTCTTCTAACTTTGCTATTTAGTTTATGATTTGGGGTTATTTGAGGATACTAACAACCACAACAAACTCATGTGAGCAGTTCGGACATCTCTGTTTCTTATTATAGCTCTGTCAGTAATCTACGGGGAAGTGCTAAGGGAGAAGCTACATTATCCTTAGCTTTAGAGGCCTGTAACTTTAGCTAGCTTCAAAACGCGATCGTATCTTTTATTCCGGGCTGTTAAAGTTTGTAAAGACTTACTGGTTAGCGTGCATCAGGTGAAAGTGGCGCGGATAGAAAGCCTGTCCCGCTGGAGACGACTGTGTACAGTAAAGTTATGGAGGCAGGAAGTACAGCGCAGCAACTGTCATGTCGCCTTCGCTGCCACCTCGGCAATCCTACGATCGCGTATAAACATCGAAAAGTCTAATTACTTAAAGACAGTAAAAATGTATAAACGCATGTATGAAAGCAATATATATTCACCTATAAAATGGTTCCATACAGCAGATTTATAAAAAAAGGTATTTGGAATAAAAACCGCGTCGCAATTACCAAAAGTTTATAAAGGTAATTATGAAAACCGAAATTTTTAGCTGCCATGAAACGACGTCTTAAAATGTATGGATTGTGCTGATTGTAATGTGTATTCTGCTTTTTAATACATCTATTGTTTTAGTGTGTTTACATGAATCATTATTGAAGTCCCCGTTGTACTTGAATCCAGCACATTTGGAAACAGAAGTAGGGCCATAGCAGCTGCTCACTGACCCACAGGCTACACACTCAGAACTGGCATAACTACAAGGATGCATTGTTATGACTGATCTGGTGTCTATGAAAATAGGATGAGAGGTGCAAGAAGTATGTCAAATATGTGCTTAAGCTTAGTAAAAGTGACGTAATATCACTGTGATACTGTAAAATAGCCACACCTGAATTCAAATAGGACTTCAAAACCAGATTAAAATGTGTTTTACTGCTACTAATGTCTTAAAAAGTTACTGCTAAAGTTACTTTGAATAGATAACCAGTCTTATTACTACCAGACTAGACTACTACAACACTATAACAAGTATTTCCAGCATGCCTAGATAATGAGATGGTACTTATTTGAACTTATTGTGTAAATGTAGCCTTGGAATGATATGCTTTGTTGCATAGTGTTGGTGTATTTATAAGTACTGTGAGAAAGGCACGCTTGTTCATACCACACGCCCATATATCAAACTCCATAAAACGTTTTACCTTGCATTATAAGTTATAGCATTCAGATTACTTCTACATTTCTAGTACAGGATACTAATAGATACATAGCTTCTTTTCTGTGTTATTAGCAGTCAGTGGAATTTAATTATGGCTAAATTTTCAGCTGTTGGTAATAAGAAGTGGTCATATAACGTGCAGCCTGTTGTTGACTGCAGTTGACCTGGTGTAACACTGATTTATGATTCAAACTGCAGAAAGCTCATCTCTGATTGGTTGAAAAATGTCACATGATTTCATCATTCACTCCAGACAGCTGCATTCCTGCTTTACTACAGCTCACTCCTCCTCGCTCTTGTTCATTTAATTACTTTCAGTGTCACGCATTGACACGATTTACACAGCAAAAAAATAAAAAATAAAATCAGTTTAAAGATACACTATGCAACTTTTTGATTAGGGGTCCGTCACCTGCTTGTGTCTATGGATATGTCACTGTTCTGTTTAGAATGTTCCACAGTATGACATTAAACAGATCTGCTTTACAATTATTCAATTACAGATGGTTTTATAGCTTAAAAATGCCTCAGAAAACCAGCTCACATTCTGACTGTGAGCTAGACATCTCTTATTCTATCTTATTAGACAACGGGGTTGCCTCTTCACGGATCTGACCTGTAACTTGGTGATCTGATCTGACCTGTAACTTGGTCGTTTGGTCTCCAAAGCGATGAAAGGTTTAATACCATACTGTGAAGCAGTACAGACACAGCAATAACATCTCCATGAAAAGTTAGACAATGCACCTTTAAGCAAATTGAAAATAATGGACTCCTCTTCAATCTCTTCTCTATCAGTCTGTTTATTTATATTTAGTAGAAATCACAGAAACCAAACTGGCATGTGTCCAAAGTTTGGACTCCAAACTCTTTATGTAAGAATAGGACTGAAGTCTTTTTTTTTTTTTTTTTTTTTTTACTGAATTTGCAATTACAGAAATACCCACGTTAGCCTTGTTTGCGGCTATTTGAAGCATGAGGGCATTGTTACCCTGTACTTGTTTACAATGATGCCTTTCACCAAATTTTATTGGAGAAAACTTTTTTATAAGACTGGTAAAAACAGGTTTTGAGAGCTTTTCGCTTTTCTTTCTTTCTTTCTTTTTTTTTTTTTTTTTTTTTCATCAAGCATTCAACAAGAGATTTAGATTTGACTTTGATTGTCCTTAAACTTTTTTCCATCTAATCTCAAATATTCACAGTAAAAGTACTTCAAAGTCTGATAAGTTAGTCACTACCATAACATAAAAAATTAAAGAAATAAATACAAAGACAGAAAGAAAAAACTAAATCCTCCAGCTAAGGTAGTCCAGACAGCTCAAGGTCTGAATATGGGTCACTGTGGCCCCCAGGTCGCCCCAGCAGCATTTAAGGATGGGTCAAACACAGAGGGCACATTGCCATACCAGGCCAACAAAGATTTGCTCGGTTTCAGATAAAATGACATTAGATAACATTCAGATAAAATTATATAGGCCAATACTATTTAATACACGTTGGGTGAAGTAATAAATATTGTTAAATGCATTTTTTATTGATAACAGAGTTTTTGTTGAAATATAGTCTCATCACTAATAGAAATGATCAGGTTCAACATTTATGAATTTACCTTTTAGATATTTCTTATGAGAATACCATATAGTCAATTCCTGGGTTTAAAATTCCTATTTGCTGCCATTTTGAAAATGGTTCACGATTCTAAAAAATAATATACTTTGTTTTAATTTAATGTGAAATTCTATGGCAATGGTTCTAACTTTTCATCATTCTGAAACCCATGGATTAGGAAAACTGGCTCTTGCCCCTTGTCTGGGAGTATGGCATCATCACATTTTAGATTCTTAAAACCACCAGAACCAACGATAGTTTTCAGAATTTTTAATGGGATGCCTATACTCCAGGTTTCCCATTTCCCAGGTTTTACATTGTATTGACATAGACAATATCTAAAAGACTAATTCACAAATGTTGAAGCTGATCATTTATATTAGTTAAACATTACATGCCTATTTATTGGTTTCAACTTCCTGTTACATGCAGTATTTTGAGGATATAATATTTAGTTTGTTTGTTTGTTTTGCATCACTATAACAACGGTCTTACCTTTTCATCATTCTGAAACTCATGGATGGCATGTTACACTGTCATCTGAAAACCACCACTGGTAATTTGCTGTGACATCATGGTGGGGATCTTACCATGTTAGTAGTTACCATGGTGACACGATACACACATTAGCAAACACTGCATTATTAGCCATATCCCGGTTATGGTAGTATTCTTATTTCTTATTTTATTTATTTGTAAAGGGAAGTAAATATTGATGAACATTAAAAATGTAAATATGTAAAAAGATTATAGCCAACGTGGCTAATTTCCATCTTCAGTCCCTCGGCAGGTTGATGTAAAATCATCTACAGGACAAGGGAAAGTACAGCAACAGTCACACAAAAGTACACAACACCAGCACACTCACTGTACATACAACACACTCACTATACATACAATTAGTTTCAAACAGTTTATTTGAAGTTCAAAGTCAAGAGTTTAAGGGTTAAACCAAGAGTTAATCCAACAACCCCTCAAAATAAAGAAAATGTAAATTGGTTAAACATGGTGACATTTTTGACCATTGAACAACCACAGTTTTAACGCTTTAGAAAATGCTGCCAATGTTGAAAGCTCTCGTATATGAGAAGGTACTGTATTCCATGTTTGAGCTGCTTGATAAGCAAAAGAGAGCTGTCCAAAAGTACTTTTCCTAAACAGCACAGAGCAGTCAGCCTCTAGAGCTGCTCTTGTTGTGCGATTTGAATTTCTTTTCACAAACTCCTTCGGGATACATGCCACAGGATCCCAGTTACTATCAGAATATACCAGGTACAGTATCCTGGTTTCTCATAATCGGGGTACTGCCTTAATCGGGATCCTGAAATCGGTGACGAAACCGTGACGAAACCGGGATACTGCGTATACGTGCACCATGATGAAACCGGGATACTCAAAAAACCTGATCATAACCGGGATACTGATGTGCATGTATACACATTCAGTGTCACAAAAGTTTTAAGATGAATGGATTTAAACAACAGATTTTCAGCAGAAATCATCTTGCCTGTTGTAGTTCCAAATAACTCAGCTCTTTCTGGTCAGATTGTGTGAAAACAAAGCTCAGAATAAAGTCTAATAAAGCCCCAGACATAGCAGTGCCAACAATTAGTATCACACCCCAGGGAATATTGATAACATCAGCTCCAAAGTATCAATGAATTGAGTAAAAACTATAAAAACAAAATGATCACAATATAAAATACCAATTGTAAATCTTCTTCTTTGTTTCATCGTGCAGCTTTGTCAGCGCCCCCCCGTTCACTGTTGTGCACCTGGTTAAACACACACTTGTATTAGCTGGATCGCTTTAGCTGCATATTTCCCCGTGGATCTGGCACAATAAGTGTTGATTTTCATTGTCTTCACACATCTCACATTCTCCTCACATGTGACTGTTTAGATACATAATTAAACAGACTCAGGTGAAAGGTATACCAGCAGTAACAGTGTGCCAAATGAGGACATCCACTCAACTTCAATTGTAAGACTTGAATGTATTAAAATGCAGTCATCAATTTTTAAACAGAAGCAAAATGCAATAAGAAATATGTGATAAGGAAAATACTGAGTCAATATTGCTTCTACAATTCACTGTATTACTACTTCAAGTCTTGAAACTATATGGTATTACAAATTGGTATTGGTATAGTTCTAAGAAGTACCTGAAGTTATTTTAATACACTTGTAGATGTTAAAATAGCAGAAAAAGCTTAACAGTTTATTCATTTTGTGTCTTTGTCTGAATACGGGGTTCTCTTCCGCCTCCCACTGGTGCATAGTGTTGTGTTATGTCCTTGGGCAAAACACTTCAGCCGTCTTGCGTACACTGGTGTATCAATATGTATGCTTAAGTGGGTTCCTTGATGAAGAGATTTAAGTGGCCAAAGAAGATAGACTAGAAATGTTATGAGTAAGTAGTGCTGTCACAATACTAAAATTTCAAACTAAATTTTGACACAAAAAGGCTTGATAGT